CGTTTACAAGTTGCCAGTTGCCAGTTGCAAGTTGCAAGTTGCCTGCTGCCTGTTGCCAGTTGTTAGTTGTTAGTTACCACAGAATGTTTGGGGCACGCACCACAAATGTACTTGCCTCCCGCTTGTGGCAGGGCAACAACTGCAGCTTCATTTGCATACAATGCAGCCAGGCGGCCAGCACGCACTTGTCGCTAAATTTGATCACGATGCCGGCAAACGCGATAAGCGCGGTCCGCAGAAACCGTTTAAGCCAAATGATAAAAATAGAAAATATAAAATTAAAAAAAAAATAAATAATAATGGACTTGGAATATGTTATTAGTTACTTAACATAACAAAAGCTGATCAACCTGTCGCCCCGTTGGACGCCATTTGTATTTGAACTATTTGAAAAAATCGGAGCCCGCTTGCCTGGCCCTGCCCCTTACTTAATGAGTGCGAGCCTCGTCTAACTGCTAACTGCTCAGCGCACTGCTATCTCACTCACTCACCCAGTCACCCAGTCAGCCACTCACCCACTCAGTCGCTCGCTCACTCACTCATTCACATACTCATTCACTCACTCACTCACTCTTGCTGCTTTGTTTGCGCTCATTTGCCTGCCCCTTATTGAGCGCGTTCGCCTGTGCTTCGCTGTGCGAGTTTCGAAATGCTCAATTTCGAACCGTTTCCCCTTTTCGAAAACTGCCGACTCGCTGGCGGAGAAGTTGAGTGAAACGCAGGCGCTCTTGAGTGAAGAAGCATAGCATTCAGACCCAACACCGACTCACTCACAGGGCCAGCGACAGGTTTATTCAATTTAGATTCTGTTTTAATTAACATTGATAGTGATATTGATCCTTTTGTTTATTAAATAAAAATCATCCTAGCGCATGTAAAGTGCTTCTTTCAATACCTTTAATAACGGTTTATACAAACCCAATACAACACTAGTTTTTCCTTGTTAACACTATTTTTTATAGACCTTTAATAAGCCTGGACACAAGGGTTTTTATGGGAATTGCCAGTACAGTAGAGGTTCTCATACTTGCTTTTGTGTTTCACAATTAAGGTTATATAGTAGTTATAATATTTCAATTCTTTTCAATATCTGTGTGTAGAGCATTAATTGAGGTAGTGCAAATGTTTAGAAGTCATTCCTGATCAAATCTGGACAACTGTGGGCCTGCAGAAAATACTTAGCTCAAAATTAGTCCAGTATTGCGTATATTCAGTTGTTGCGGCGTCCATTGGATTCCGATTTCGCAGAAGTGACGCGCGACTTGTTGAGCTGCCAGCGGCTGGAAAATGATTGCAAAATGATTACTGGGAGTTCAGAGCTGTCGGAAAGCGGGCATGTGGGACGCGGTGGCGCTATTGCAGGTCATAATTTCGCTGTCAATTGTCGTTGGGGCAAACAAAAGTTCATTAGGCGACGTTCCGAGTGGCGTCCGTGGCACACATGTATGTGCCACCGTCACCGCCACCGGCCAGCGGCCATGGCGAGCGACATCGACTCCAGCGACTGCGAGGCCAAGGACACCAAACGATGCAGGTCCTGTAGACGGACCGGACAGTGTCAGTGCAGAAGACACTCGAGGACAGGAAGGGCTAGCACGGGGACAGGACAGCTGAGGACGAAACACAAAATGTCAGCAACATCATTTGTCAAAACAAACTTTTTGACGTAGTCGCGTCGCAGCGAAAGTGCGTGGCTGCCCCCAAAAGCCGCTCCGCTGTACGCCACCTCCGCTCTGCTAGGGCTCTCTCTCTCTCTCTCTCTCGCATTGTGTGTTGCGAGTCCATGTAACAACAAACTGATGCCTCATGCATGGCCGCCTCGCGTCTCTTGCCACATGCCACTTGCCTCACGCCTGCACAGCGTGATGTTTATCATTATTATCGCGACTCACTCGCGTCCAGACAACAGCCAAAATTGTCCCCGCTCTCCACTTGCAACTCAGCCCCGCCTCCACCCGAAACCAACCACTTTCGCTGTTGCTGCATTTTTATACACTTGCCACAGAGTTGTTTAGCTGGCTCAAAAAATTGAAGCCAATCGAATCGAGCTGATCCAAACCGTTTAAAGTTTTTCCAACCCAAGAAAATCAGATTTATATTCCAATATTTATTCTTGTCAGTGTCAGAGTTTTGCATCAGAGTGTGACCGCATTTAAAACTAATACAAAAGAAGATCTGGCAACGCGAAAGTCAGCCATAGCTCGTATAAATTGCTTAAGATTACGAAATGCCATTAAAGTAGTTTGAAAGGTATTTTCTTATTAAAAGACAAATCTAGAGGCCTACGTAAGTATACTGAATGAAATTTAATTATGGACATATCATTATAATTGTTATTATTTTTATTTTTATTATTATTATTATTATTATTATTATTATTATTATTATTATTATTATTATTATTATTATTATTATTATTATTATTATTATTATTATTATTATTTTTATTATTATTATTATTATTATTAATCTTCATCATTTTTATAATCATTCTTAATAATTGTGGTCGAGGTACTTATGATACTTGCGAGGTTTCGAACCCGCGTCTTCGCTGTCCACTGTGAAATCTTGGCATCATGATGCCCTATATTTTGCCTTTATTCTCTGGAGCTCCTATTAAAAGGGTATTGCGGATTGCGTTGATCAACATTACCTGCACACACCAGTCCACTCCAAACAGACACTCCCACCCACATGCACAGAATCGCATATGTTCACTGACTACGATTGCCAGCTATGCCGCATGGAGCATGCCACACGGACATGCCTCATGCCAAAGTGGCGCCCGTTGCTGTTGTTGGTTTCAGCGCTGTTGTGTTTTTTGTGTTGATTTTTGGTCGCGTTTAATTTTTTTTTTTTGCGGCAACGCCAAATGTTGGCGTATTAGCGGTTTTCGTGGCCGATTATTTCGAAGCCCCTTTGATTTGGGTGTCGTCTGCGATCCGTTGGAGGTCTATTAATTATCTTACTGGAGTTGGAGTGGCCAGCAGAAAGGCTCCGACTCGATTCGGTTCAAACACTTGTATTCAACTCCATTCCAATTCATTTCATAACTTTAACAAAAAGTCAGTCGAGATGTGACATGCCAAAGAGAATCAGACAGACGGCCACAGCTACCCGACCCCGCGGCCGCACTTCCCTCGAGCCTAATGATGGCCCATAGCTGATGCTGCAAACAGTCCACAGTTATGCTCGGTTGCCAGTTGCCAGTTGCCAATTCTCCCACTTCTCAACGGGACAACGGCCAAAGGAGGCGAAACTATGCACAGCTATGGACACGTATTCGTTTTGGGGGCAGGAGTGGGCAGTCCGGGGGCTGTCCACTTGTGCAAATTATTGTGAAATATACAGCAAAAAACAAAAAGCAAAAAAAAGAAACGTTGCATACTTTTGAAAATGAAGTCATCGAGGCGCTGAGAGTCACACACACATATACACACAACTCGAGTGTGCTGCGTTGAGAGGGGAAAGGGTTGCTGAGAGAGAAGGGTGTAGTTTTGTTTGTGTGTGTATGTGTGTGTGAGTGTGTGATTGTGTGTGCCACATGGAACCCTTAATTAAATAAATTCAATATGCGCAACGGGCGGCAGACCCCCAATCCCAATCCCACTGCCAATCCCAACGCCAACCCCACGGCCAGCCCCGTCCCAAGTCCGAAGCTCGAACCCCTGCGAACCAACTACAAAATTATATGGCGAAAATGTTCTCGTTGGAAATCGTCATGGATTTTAATATTTAAAAGCGTTTTCAAAAACTGTCCCAGCGACAGAACCAGCCGATGAGAGAGAGGCAAAGAGAGAGTGCTGGGTGGGGGCAGCGCATGAAGCAGAGACTACTGACCAGCACGTGGGCTGACCAAAAAGTGCCGCAGTTCAGAGGCCAAACGCATCGACTACGCCATGAACCATGTCCCAAAGAAGCCCTGTGCCCGCAATCCGCAAAGCCCCAACCCTTGCAACCAACCCGTTCGACAGGGCAGCGGCAACATTTTGATAAGCGGCGTCCGTTGCCCGCCTGGGCACAGGCCCCGCCCCCCCAGTCATAGCTTCTGCCCTTGCGTTCGTCGCCGGCAAAAGGATATTATTTAATGAGCTAAACTTAAAGCGTTGGGCGCTCCAGTGGATTGGTTTGTGGGCTGGGGGCTGGAGGCTCGAGTCCTCCACTTCGGACTGACCAAATTGAGTTGACCTGTTTTGTGTGTATGCGTATGCGTGTATGAGTGTGGGTTGTGTGTATGTGGTGCATAGTTTTTGGTGGCCAGACTCCGTCTCGCCCTCAGCTCCAGCCTCAGTCTCGCTTGGCTTGCATATTCAATTGAAGCTGAACCAGAAGCTGAGAGCTGGACACCCAACCTCCCAGCAACTGCTTCGACAGTTGTGCTCCATTTTTGGGGTCAGGCGTGTGCGTGATTAAAAATTCAACACCCGAAACGAATGTGGAATTGAACGGCAAATTAAATGAGCACTCAACTGGACTGGGCCTGACCGGAACTTTTACTCAAGCGGGTGGTAAGAGTCGCCCAGAAATCGGTTTAGCAGCCCTCTTCTCTAGTTTATTTATTTAACCGAACCTTCCCATTCTACTTTCCAATCGTATTTATCATTTCCAGTTATATGCCATTTTTCTTGGTTTCTTACAGCTCTCAATATACTAGTTCCACTTTAAAATACATCACATTTTCCACGGGAACTAGCAGAAAATCCTTTTTGAACCAGTTTGAACGAAAGGAAAACTGTCTATGATTGAAATATATTAAATGCATGTATAAAACTGTTTCGGGTCTGTTTGAACAATATACTTCATTGATTATACTTAGATCGTGAAATATGTCCAATCCATTTTGTACTGCATCTGCAGTTTAATCTGAATTTATTATCTAAACTGTCACAAGTTTGAAGTCCCCCAACGTACTAAGCCGTCACACGTAAGATCAACTGAAATAAAAACAATTTCTTTCAAAAAGATTACAATAGGGAAAATAAACTCTATGCTTGGCTGAGTTTTTTTTTTTTTTTGTTGCAAAGCTACATGCGTGTATATTTAAGGTGTACAAATCAACAGAGCTGTTGAGGTAAAAAAGAGAATAGAGACAAAAAAAAACATATAGATATATGTACTTATAATAAGCAAACAGGACGAGTCCCGAGCCATTGTTGCATGCAGAATATGTGGGAGCGCCAGTTTGGACAAACGGGAATCGGTTCGCTGGGGTCCGCTTAGCCCGAGGAGGCGGTGGTCGATGGTGGGGGTGGGCAGCGTCCGCCTGGTGGTGGTCCCGATGGTGGCGGTCCGCTTGGCGGTGGTCCACTCGGCGGTGGGCCGCACGGACCCTGCGGTCTGGCGGTCTATAAGCAGAGAGAAAGACAGGTTAGAGAATTGGGTGGTGCACGCATGGCGGTTCACAGTGGAATCCCGAGACTTACCACCAGCGCCGTGCCGCAGACGAGCACCATCAGAAGACCCAGGAAGTAGCTCAGGCTTAGACGCATCTTTCCAGCTGTGTTTCCAGTCGAGAACTGTTGGCCCATCCCACCGAGCATTACGTATTTATGGGCTATTCGCGTTTGGGCGCCCTTGCGTGTCGAATTGCTATCGTCAAATTGCTGGGGGAATTAATTCCAAATTGAGTTTTTATTTTTCAGTTGTAGTGTGAAAATTTGTAAGCGCATCGCTGCGACAATTATATAAAAATATAAAAAAAAACCTCTACTCCAACTTGAATGATCGGCCTAATCATTATATGATTATTCATTATCAACTCGAAACAGTTGAACCATTTTAATTGCATCATCTATTTTACGCAAACGCTTTTGCAATTGGCGCGGTTCTGCTCTACTGTCTAAATTACGATTAAGTGAATTTGCTACACGTGAATGCCATTAGAAAGTCATTAAATTATGCCTCCTTTGTTCTAAATGTATATCTCGAATACCTAATTATTGCGATTTGCTGCAGTTATTAAACGACATAAATAAGTCATCATTGGCATTTCAATGAACCTAGCTTAAAGTGAACTAGTGAAGCCTCAAAATTAAACAAAGCGTATTATAAAAACTCTTTCATGTGCTTTCTTCAAAGCTTTTTGCTTTAATGCTTAAGAATTGCAAAATAACGTGGGAAAAGCACAAATATGATATTTGCAATATTAGTCAACATTGGGATTCATCTTGACTTTAAAGTTTAAGCCCAAGGTTCATGGTCAGCTTTTGAGGCTCTTCAGTGAAAGCCTCTTCCAATGTGTACAGGGTTAAATCCTAAGATCTATTCAATGTTATTTGCTGTATCGTTGAATCTCTAAGATAATTCGCTCGCTTTCATTACTTTGCTTCTGTGAGTTGTCGGGTGAGCGATGGTGTCAAACTTTTCTTATTCTCTCTTTTGACAATGTTTTAAGATGTCTTCCCAATTGTCGCTCTCTTTTCTTTCTTAATATTAATGCTCAGGACACTTCTGATCGCTCTTCTCTCTATCTCTCCTTAACGATTTCTTTCTCTCTCTTCAATCTCTGTCCCAGCCTGAACTTTAACATATGTGATACATTTATCCTTTATCCATCTATGCTTTCTCTCTATCTCCTCTGTTTCTATTTCTCGCTCTCTCTCTCTCTCTCTCTCTCTCTCTGCTGGTGCCTGCTATAATTAACTGAATATTTATTACTGCGGTAGATAAAATGTTATGCGGCTATTATTTTAGTTTTATGGCCAAGCAAGAAGCCAACTGCCAGGCAGCCCAGCCAGGTGGGTTTAAGCCAAGCCAAGTTAACGGCCAACAACAATAAGGTCGCTGCAACTTGAACAGAGAGAGTGAGAGAGAGAGCGGGAGAAAAGTGTGGCTGTGGAGGCGGCTAGGAATCCGAGCCAAAATGCATTCACGCACACTGACAGTCGGGACACAAACCATTGAGCAAGCGCAACCAATTAAGTCAACAACCACTGGCCGACTCCAGTTCGAGTTCGGGATTGTAATGCGGCTTGGGTTGCATACGCAGAAGACCCCCTCTCCTTACCCTATCAGGTGAAAAAAAAATAAATAAAAAATAAAATACCTTCGCTAATTGTTTTAAGGCCGCCAAGAGCAACAGCAACAACAACGCCGGCAACGCAATAAGGTGTGAAATTCAAGCGCATAAATCCAAGACGCAGCCTACGTTGACGCCAAAAAAGTTTCACCAGTTGTTGAGTTGCTCCGAGTCCCGGCTGCTGGCTGCTGGCTCCTGATTTCTGGCTGCTGGCAGGGCACGCCTTCAGCCAGTTGATAAGACCAAAAAGGCTGGCACTCTGTTCGCTCGCTGGCCCGTAAAATAATAACGACAAGAAAATTACGCATACGCCGTGTTGTTTTACATTGTCTACGTGCGGCGGCCAAATAAGACGGCTTATTAATATTATTACTCATACGCCACGGGCAAGTCCTAGGCGTAGGACAAGGGCAAGCTGCCTCCTGCCAGCAGCTGCTGTTGCTGTTGCTGTTGTTATATAATTATAATTGTTTAATGAACTGCACGGGCTGTACCTAGTAGCAAAGCTGATGCCGCAAAATGCGGCAGCTTGCGGGCGCTGAATCGAAAGTAGACTAACTTCTAGGCGTGGCAAGTGCGAGGCCATTCGGACGAAAGGCGTTGACGGTGCCTGCAGCAACAGAGAGTAGAAAGAGCTACAAAATGGGAGGCGGTTGTTGAAGCTTAAGGATGTTCTCAAGCCAAGGAAAGAGATCACTTAGTGAGTGCGAGAGAGAAACTGTCGCTCAAAGTGTTATTAGAGAGCAGAACGAGAGAGAGAGAGAAAGAAAGCAACCCTTGTCTTTCTAGCCTAGGGACCACCTAGGGACCATCTTAAATCGATGTTGGACACTTACCTGACACCTCCGCATTCCGAATCCACTAAAAACTCCCCGTTACCTGCATGACAATCAACACAATGATGATCACAATGACGACTATGATAATGATGTAGAAGTATATGCACATTTCAGCAGCAAAATATAAGTACGACTCGTACAGTTTATTATTGAATATTGAAGTAAAACTCTCAACTGTGTGAAGCATAGAAAACGACGAGAGATATGAGGAGAGAAAGATAGAGAGAGGGACAGAGTATATATTGTGACTGTTTCAGAAATTTATAGACATCGCTTTGGGCCAATTAGTGTCAACACACATAACAATTGGTCTGTGCTGCAAATCAGCTGGCCGAAGGGGAGAGGCTACTCTCTCCTTCCATCCGCATCCCAATCCCTATCGCCTCACGCGCATCGCGCACCTAGCGAGCCCCCAACAATGGGCAACGGGTACTACAACAATGTCTCGAATTGACAAAAACCATTTACACTCATTCTCATTTTCATTCTCTTGGCCCTATTCTGTGCTGCCCGCTGAACGACCTTCCGTGGCGCATAACCGTTAACATTTGTGCGCGGTTCTCCTCCTCTCCTCTTGTTCCATTACAGCCCCCGCCCCCTTTGCGCGTTATAGCAGCCAACTGGCCTGGCCCTTTCCCTTGTTCAACATCTCGCTCAAACAGCACATCATGAAGCCCGTCATTATTGGCACTGCCGGAGAACAGCAATGTGTGTGTGTGTGTGTTTGTGGGTGTGCGGGCGCTTTTGTTGTTACTGCTGCGTGTAGCTGTAGCTGTCTGTAGTTAGTGGTTATAATAATTAAAATGAGCCAAATAATTTCAGCCAAAAAGCATCGATGAAAGGCTAAAATGCTCAATAAATGGCAGAAACGCGCGCTGTGTGCTTCGTTGGGGGAATGGAGGGACCAGAGGCTAGGGGCTAGTAACTGAATGCTTCTTGCCAACCACCCAAAAGTAGCCCCTACCCCCTCGCCAGTCAAAATGCAAGCCCCAGGGGGTAATTAAAGCGCAAAAAAAGTCAAGCCAAGAAAAACTTGGCCAAAAGTTTTCCCATCGATGACTTGGCAGCCTTTGTAGCTGTATGGCAAGTAGGTGGTGGCGATGGTGGTATGGGCGATGGGGGGCACACTCAGTGGAGTGCTGCTGCCATGTGATATCGATGTCATCCACGGCGAGAGCGTGTGCCAAGTGGGCGCCCATGGCAGTCGGCAATGCGTAAAAGTGTTAACCAAAAGCAGTTAAAATTACAAAAGGCAGCAGACGCCATCGCAATGGCAACAGGCCGCCAAACAGCAAGGGGGCTGTGAGGGGAGGTACTTTGAAAAATTAACACCTAATATCCGCAAAATCGCATCAAAGTATTGTTGTGGAGTGCGCCCCCACGCTTACCCAGCAGCGAGTTTCGCCTTTTGTTAGATGGAAAACTTTGCAATTTCTTAAAAGTGTCGCCCCTGCCACACGATCCCCGCCCCTGGTTGTGAAATGTGGAAAACCCCCGGCAGCTGTTTTACTTAGTTGTAGGCGTTATTAGCAACACTTAAGATGGTCCACGGGCAGGCGGTGCTCGGAGTGTGGCTGTTTGTGCGCGGCGAGGGGCGAGGGGTTAGGAGCGAGGCTGGAGCCAACTGGAACTTGCTTTTTTCAACACCTACGCAACCAAAAATCGTAGACAATGGCAAGCTTTAGCGCAGGGGACGGGGCTGGCACTTTGTTGGTTGATTGCCTGGTTGGGTGGATCGGTGGTTGGGTGGTTGGGTGGCTGAGCTTGGCGACGCCAAAACTTGCTATTGTTTTACTGCGAGCTGCTGTTGTTGTTTGGCATTGTTGTAAATTGACACCACAGCAATGAGTTAATAAGGCGATAAAAATTTTACCACCATGAAGCGAAACTTGGCGTAAGGGGCGCCAAGGCGGCACTGGTTGGCCGCAGTGGAAGGGTGTAGCGGGCTATTGAGCGAGCCCTGGAAGGTGGGGCATCTGAGAGGCTGAGGTCTAGTCACTAATCCTTGAGGCAGCTGCAAATCAAAGCGTTGCTTGAACCCCAACCCCTGCCGCTCAGCAGTCCACAGTATGAAATAAAGCGAGGCTAGAAACAACCTGATCTGAAAAACGAAACCTCAACTGGTTCCGGAGAGCAATAAAGCCTGCTTGAACATGTGCGTATATGCATGTGTACATATAGGTTTGTATATAGTATTTATTTATATACATTTATGTAAATATACTTATATGCACATATATTTTATACATATTTTTAATTATTTTCATTTCATGTCTTTTAATTAACATGCCTAATAAAACACATGCCAATGGGTTGGGCACAGCCGTAGGGGTATGCTTGATGGGGTGTGTGAGCGAGGGGGTGGCTGATGTGGTGGGGTGGGGTGAGGTGGCTGTACCTTGAGCCTTATATGCACATACGTATGTGTACATGGCAAAAGAGCATAAAAAGATATTGTCGGTAGTCGACAGGCGGGCATCACACAGTCTGATGTATGCAAATAACACCCCCCAGCACATTCGCACACACGCTTTCCCCCTACATCTCTCTCCCTCTCTATCTATCTCTGTCTCTCTGAGTGTGTAAAGAAAAACTTGCAAAGCCTTTGAATCGTGCGCTGCCTGCTAAAAATCCCAAAATATAAATAATTAAAAAGAAAATGTTGCTGGCAAATCAAGCGAGAACCAGTGCCAGAACCCGGCACCCAAAAAAATGGAACGGGCTGAGACGATTCTTGTAATTATGAAGCCTGCAGCTCTCCCGCCGCACCCTTAGCCACAGCTCTAGCAGACGAAACAGCGTTGGCCTCTTGCCACCGCACCAGCGCTTTCTCTTTTGTGGTTTTTACAAATGCATAATGCTGATTACGGGCAATAATTTTATGAATTTATGTAAACGTTACCAGTCGCTTCCAGTCTGTGTTAAGGTGTGCCTCCTCCTGATAAGCGGGATAAGTTGCCTGCCATTTTGATATGTGGAAATACCCGCACACACGCTCACACACACACACAAATGTGCACATGTATAAGTGGGTGCCCATAAACTCCTTAAATGTCCTCCTATCTGCAGTCAAGTTTAACATAAGAGTCTATTTCTCCCACAAGTGTCATAAATTTGCGAAGAAATTGTCAAATTTTATATCATTTGCTTCTTTTTTATTTTGTTTCTGCTTTATTTTTATTTATTTTATTTTGCTACTTTTTATGCCTAGTTGTTTATATTCGGATACCCTCAGCTCTTTTGGACTAGAAAACTTTTTATGAGGTAAAGGGAATACGTAGAAATAATAAAAATGTTTCCTTTTTGATTCTGCATCCTGAAATCTGTTGAAACTTTTAAATATAATTAGCCAAATAATTATTTGAAAAATTCTTAAGTTCGGAGAAATTTCTATATCCGTCTTTATATCATTTAAAAATATTTCTATATTTTTTAATTAAACATTTTTCCTTTAATTTATGTACAAACTTATTATATTGCTAAATGTTTTTACCTCAAAATTGAAATTGAAACAAATTCGACTCTGTTTTGACGTACTATGCTTCCTAACTGATTTTGTTTTTGTTCAAATTTGTAAATTCTTCTTCCAAATTTGTTCGTTTAACTGTTTTAGCATGTCTGATGACTTTCTGACATTCTTGAAATTCAGCATGCATTGCTTCAAATATATCTACATATACTTTGTGTGTGTGAACCTTTTGGAGCATCTGATACAGGGCCAGGAGGGAAGCTCAAATTAAAGACGACCAGCTGAGCTCCCGCTATGGGAGTATCAGGAGATGCTGTTGCAGCCACAATACGCATACGGAATGGAATTGGTCGAGCTTATTTCCGTTAATGGCCCCGGTCGAGTCGTGTCAAAGGATCTCAGGAAGTCGAAGACAACGTGTTTCAAGAGCTGCCACAAAACTCGGCCAAGATGTGAACCGCCCTTAGAGAATGAAGTCAGTTTAGGTTTCCAATTTGATCACATTTTGGATAATTTTGGTGGCAACTGAATATGAAACTGTTTACTAAAATAAAACCAATGCATTTTTATTTAGCTTTTTATTGTACTAAGCTCGCAGCTTTCATGTGCTTTAAAAGGCTGCCAAATTTTTGAATAGTGACATAAAGGAAAATGAAAGCTTGACAGAACTGGGTAAGCTTTAATAGAGTCGACTGTTGATTGGGAACTTAAAAGCTCTTTAATCAATTAAGTAAGCCTTAAAGTTCAATTCATGATCAAGTGAGCGTTAAAGTTCCTTAATATATTAAAGTAGCTCTTGATTTTGCACTAGCTTTGAAAGCTCTACACTCGCACGTAAATTTCACTCATTTGGATCAAGATTCAGCAGAAAAGTTTAGACCTAGCAGCGTCTTCTTAAATGTCAGTTACGGTCTCTCTACACTGCCAGTAGTAGGAGTAGGTGACTAGCCAGAAGTAAACGCTTAGCACTGCAAGAGGATATAGGTAAAATAATGGCAATAGGCAAATCGGCAGATACTCGCATATGTTTATGCATGTAACAATAAGTGTGAACATCGAATTGCGTCGACAGGGGACCCAGACATAGGCGGAAATGATGAGAAATAGAAATTTCGCAATGTCCGTTGCCAAATAAACCAACAACAGCGGCGACATTTCCTGCAATCCAATACGAATACAGCTCGATACACAAATATAAATATATACACATATATATATTTATATAATTGAGAATTTAAACAATATATATATTCAATATATTTTCAATATATATATATATATATATATAGAAATATATATATATTGATTAAATTCTCAATTGGGCTTACGACTGCGGCGCTGAGGAAGAGCATGATAATGCCCAGAAAGTGGGCCAGATATATGATGGTCGCCACGGCTTCGATTGTTGAACCTGTGGAACTGGTGGCTTTTAATGAGGTGCCCAATACTGAGGATTCGCTTACTCTTGCCATAGGACAAATTAACCATATGCATGCACATGTCAAAGAATGCAACCAGAAAGCATCCGGAGCGTAGGTTCACAAAGTAACAGCATTTGGCCAGTCGAAGTTTCATGTTGAGCTGACAGTCAACTCGCAGCTAGCTGAAGTTTACAGTAATTTGAGTCTATCTCCCTAGCTCCTCACCACCCCTTCGCCCACCACATACACACAGTCTGACTAATTCCCCAGCCAATTCCCTGGCAGGGGGCTTCTCTAACCTGGTGCTCAGCTCTTTTGCATATTTCGAACTTTGCGCTAGTTGCTTGTAAAATTCTACAGAGCTGCAAAATATGACGCGCGCCCCCCCAACCCCCACCCATAATAGCTGCACCCCCCTCCTGTACACCAAGCTTCCCCAGTCGACATTAAAAAAGATAAAGTTTTATTAGATTTTTTTTTCAAACAGAGTTGTGGTTCACGGGCATTCCCGAACATATTCAAGATATACAACCTTATAAGAAAAACTACCAGCTTGCCGAATATTGCATATCCTTTTTGCAATAAGTCAAGACTCTTAGGTTGAATATGGTTTAGGTAATTACAAAATTTTACCAGCCATAGTACTGTGGACCTTGCTATTTATAATTTGTATATACTCGCATTTGAAGCTCCGGTATATCTCCATCAATATGGCTTTATTATAATAGCCCGCCGTTTCAGAGTGCAAAGTGGATGAAAAAAAGCGGCTGCTTTGTTGTTTGGACTGTGTCGCAAAGCAAGTGAAACGTAACCAAATAATATAAATTAATGCTAAAATAAATAAATATGTAAACAAATAGTCGCATAAACAAAAAAAAATATATATATATGTATATATATATAAATTAATAAAAAATATATAAAATAAAAAGCAGGCAAAATCGAAAGGGGACCGAAAGCCAAATGTAATAATTAAATTGCATTTCCGACTGTGGTTGTTGTCCTTCAACAAAATGGCGGCGGCGAAGTGTTCATGTGTGTGAGCATAAGTGTGTGTGGCTCTGTCTGTGCGTTGCCCTGTGTGTGGGTGTGTGTGTGTGTTTGGGTGTGTGTTGTAAAAATATTTATGTAACCGCTGCACACTCATTGGTTTTTGCTTTATTTTTTACAGTTGGTCGAAAAGCAAACGGCGCCTCCGGTGCCTCCACAGAACCGCACAATTTACAATATTATTGCCAGTTCTCATTCTCACTCTTTCTTTCGCTCTCCCCATCTCGCTCCCTCTTGCGCGCACACTCTATACATGTGCCTGTCCTTGTCTTTTGCATAGTCTGTCTCTGTTGCTCTGGGCTATATTTATGCATGGCAGTGCTTAAATTTATTTATCATTCAATTAAATATTTAAAATACCAAAAAATGCTTTCACCACTGTCCAACAACCACCCACACACACATACGCATACACACACACACACGCACACCTTTAATATTGAAATTGAAATCATAAATAAATGAGCAAATTTGTGCTGTTTTTTTGGTTTTTTTGGTTTTCATTGTGCGAATGTCGACGGGTTTATTTGCTTTGGACGCGGTGCCAAGCGGCGTATGCGTAACGTGTGTGTGTGTGCCAGTATGCGTGCGTGTGTGTGTGTGTGTGTGCTCTGTGTATTCTGCACATTTTATTGTTATTATAACAATGTTTTTTTCTTTTCTGTTAACGCAGTGTTTGTAAAATTAATTGACATTTTATTTGTTAATTAATTGTTATAGCTGTTGGCCGGCCAGCAAAATGGCCAAATGGCTTTTCATTATTGTTATTACAAATGCCGCGGCCATTATTATTTGCTCGTTATGTGTGTGCGTGTGTGTTTGTGTGTAGCGAAATTTAATGCATTTGTAATTTAGTTGTAGTTTTAATTGCAAAAATTCTTAATTTTCTAATTATTTATTTATTTGCATGCAAAGCTCTGTGTTTGGCTCAGCTTAGAAGCGAGCGGTCTGTGGAGGGAGATAGTGCAACCGGTCTGAAGTTGTAATTCCCATATAAATAGTCAATCTCTGAACATTCGGCGGACAGATCATAGTATAAGTAGTTGCAGACAGCAAGGCGGGAATGTGAGAGCTGAGCAGCTACTTGGTTATTCCAGGAAATATATGAATACAATTTCTCAAATTAAGGTCAATTTCACAAAATCTTTGACATCCAGTCGCGGGTTTTCAAAAAAATCACAATTGATTATCTTACTTATATGAACTTATACCCTTCTAGAGTGTATTATATTTTGTTCAATAAATGTGTAGCGCATAGAATAATACGTCTCAAAGTCCATTATAAATATATATACCCTTGTTTAATATTAATAGTCTGTCTATTTATATGAAATCTAGTCAATCAGCCATGAAACAATCGCTATGTAACATCATCATATAGCGACTATATTTTGACAATCGTACACGATCCTCGTCTAATAAAGGTCGGAGATCAGATAAATTTGCAGTGCTGCAGCATTCAAACGCGGCCGTCAGGATCCTGGCTGACACCTTCAGCTAGAGGCGCCTCCAAAGGCTATACCTTGCCGAGCTACCTACGAGGTATTTAAATATCCTTCTTTGTAAATAACCCATCATTGTAAATATCTTATAAGTTACATCATTTTAACCTTATTTATTTGCTTGGATCATAAGACACTGATCGATTCCAGCGCAGAATAAAAAATATTTAATTAAATATAATTATTCTGTCAATAAGATCAAGTATGAAAAGCCTTTTCCTTAATTAAAATATTTTGAGCCCACTTAGCGCTTACTTATTTGAGTATGTTTTCTACATATAAGCAAAATCCTGTCAACATAGTTTCCGAAGGATATTTAATCCACCAAAACAAACCGTTGTATTTTGTTTAACAATATTTTCGCTTAGCGAGCACCAGACATTGTGGTTGCTTGAAGTTGATCCAATATTCAAATGGATGATGGGCATCTTTGCCGCTTTGCCCAAATGAAAATGGAAAACTGCAACAGCTGAAAAGATTATAAGGGCGCAGCTATTTGGACTGGTGGAGATCGGAGAGCAGGGCGCGAGGTAGCCGAGGTCCCATCAATTTTTACAACTTTAAATACCAGCAGGAAGTAACTTAAAAACGACCTCGCCGCCTCATCCGCACTCACATTCACATTCACATTCTCATCTGCATGATTCCTGCAAGCCCCCTTCCCCCTTTGAATGCGTTCGAGAACGCGACTGGCAATAAGAAAAAGTCATAACAAAATTTTACGACAACTTTGGCGGCGTTTTCATTTCGAGCCGGTGTATATATGCTAGTTGGGCTTCTGGCCGGGTACTGATGCTGCCTCTGAAACGTGTGGTGGTGGCAGTGTGGGGGGAGGGGTGGGGGGAGGGAGGGAATAAGGGGTGTAGTGGTAATGGGTGGTTCGGTGGTTGCCCATTGTCGGTTAGGTGAGCTGCAAAATGCAAAACAAAGGAAAATTACCAGGCGAAGCGGAGCACAGACAAAATATTCTAATGGCTGCCATCCCGCTGCTAGCCGCTGCCTCAGACGGGCCTTGTTTGGGGCGAAGGGTGTGGTCGTGGGGGTTTGGCATATAATAATCATCTATATTCATGGATTAGGATTCAATTTTTATGCCACACGCAAAAGCTGTGGAAAAAACACAGCAACAACAATGAGGGTTAAATTGAAAATAAAGCGACGATGCGACTTCGTCCAAACGCTGCCAAATATGAAATTATAAAGACTCCAAAAGAATAGCACAGCTAAGAACAAAGAGAGGGAGGGAGATGGGAAAAAATAACAAAAAAAAAAAAATAATTCAAAAATTTATGCAAGAAAATATTACCAAAGAGCTAATAATTTTCTCCCGCCTTTCAAGGTGGCAAAAGCGCCGCGTGAGGCGCGCTTTTTGTGTGTGAGTGGGCGAAGAGGTGGTGTAGAGTGTGGTGGAGCAGAGGCAGGGGCAGGGTCACGTTAAATGCGCTGGTTGAGCCAGCAGCGAACGTTCCGGGCTTCTATTAATGAATAATATCGCGGCTAAGGCATCGGCATAGGCATCGGCTTCAGGCATTGGCATCAGCGGACTCGGAGCTGGAATCGGAGGAAGAGGCGAAGACAGAGACTGAGCTGGAGCTGGAGCTGGGGCACGCCACAGGGGTTAATAAGTAATCTGCATTTTTTGACATTTATTTATGTCTTCAAATATGTGCCGTGCTCTCCCTCTCTCGCTTCATCTCTCTGTGTGGGTGTGGATGTGGGTGTGTGTGTGTGCGTGTATGTGTCTCTGGTGGGCGGCACGTAATTCGGGGCGGCAACAGCAACAACATCAACAACAAAGAGCGCCGTAGAGAAATATAACAGCTGTTAAAAGTGTCATTAAAGAATATATACTCAGGTCCATACACTCTTCTGCTCGGCTCTCTCATTATCCCACGAAGTGCTAAGCATTTGTATCGTAGCCAGTAGCAACACGACAGTAGACGGCAAAGACTTATCAGAGCGGTTACAAGGCTCGCTTTAATCTGTCATTCCAATACACTTACACACTCACATATTTTTCATATCTCAATTTCTTAAGAATTAGAATCGATCTAACAGAAATGGCCTAAGGTACCAGCGCCAATTCTTATAGGCTGCCCAATTCTGCGAAGCAAGGAATCCTTCGATGTCGACGCCATGCTGACTTTCAGGCAATATAAAGCGCCTACTTCAAATATTGGTCAGCATGTGAACGTTGCAGCTGATCTCAGCTTTAGCCCAAACTATTTATACAAAAGAAAAAATATGTAAAAAAGAAACTTCCATTTGCTTATATCAATTTCAAAGTATTTCCCGTTTGACAATTTCTGATGCGAATCTTGAGTCTTTTAGCCAGCACCCGAGGAAGCCTGGTTGCTTCAGTTCGAGCAGTTTAGATTTTTTTGGAAGACCCTCTCGTCTTCTCTCTGACATGAGTGTGTTCTTGTGCTTAACACGATAGGCATTGCTGGCTGGGAGATTGGGGAAGATTTGACAATGAACTTAATTAGTTCAGTTCCTGGACTGGACTAACGTTCTTGGAAAAGCTCTTCCGGTTGGTCTATTTGTATATGCATTTCGTTTCTTCTTCTCCTATTTCACGCGGTACAAGTGTTAATAATTACGGCTGGAATATATCG